TTAGGAAATCGGAAATCGGCTGATACTTGCATGAGAAACCGATTTTATCGATTTTTTTTTGTTTGTTTTAACAACAATTGTCTGAACTTCATTTATATTTCAGAGCACTACATCATGTCCAGTTAAAACATGTTTGTATTGTTTCTAGGATATTGTTCAAGGGTATGTTTGTCAACAAAATAAGATTGGAAAATTGAAGGTGTAATAAAATAAGATTGGAAAACTGAAGCTGCATTGTGAACTTATAACACTTGACAGTGTCACTTATAAAACAAAATTGGTATCGGCCAAAATCAGAATCGGAAGGTCAGATTTGTTAGAACTCGGTGATCGGCCAGAAAACTGCAATCGGTGCGTCCCTAATATATACATATATACACATACATACATGCACATTTGAACACACAGAACCTCTTGAAAAACAAGCCCACATCATGCATTTGCTTTGACCGAATGCACACAGAATAAATCTGTAAAGTATGTATATACCTAAGGTGTACACACTTATCCATGTGTACATACCCATATACATGCACACACACATGTTCAACATGGATATTGAACAATCATTTGAAATAAACCAAGAAGAACCTAAATTTGGAGGGAAAGTATTCAGCAGCTGACAAAGAAACGGAGGGAATTTAAAGTGGCTCAGCCACTTTCTGCGGATGAGTTAAAGATAAAACCAGTGGAGAAAAAAAACTCGCTAACCTGAAAGAAACAATAGAATAATGGTTCGTAAATCGTATAAAAGCAGGTCAAAAATGGTTTATTATATTAACTTATTTTAGACTTGGCTACTGTTTTTTTAATCACCTGCAGTGAAAAGGCTTTTTTTTCTATTGTGTCTGAGTGTGTTTGTCAAAGAAAAATATATCATAAACCGCTGGACGGATGAAAATCAAACTCAAATCAAACTTAAAAATGAATCATTACATGTGTATCTACAAACGATTAACTTGAGAATGCAACCCTAGATGATTACCACAGCTATATGACCATAACCAACACAAAAAGTGCAATAACTCTGTAAATGTTACAGATATTAAGCTCAAATCTGATGTAATAATAGCTGAAAGTTATTCACAATAATCAGAATTGTAACAGATCATACAAGGTCTTGCAATATCACATAAGTATGTGCAAAATGTAATTTTCAATATTTAAAATTAAACCCTGGGATGAAAGATGGTGTGTGATATGTATTCCTTCAAGAAATTATAAGGATTTAATTTCAGTTCAGTTTATTTATATAAGTCGCAACAGACATTGTCTCAGGGCACTGAATAAAATATTCACATGCATAAGAAAGTCAATTATTATTTATCTAATGAAGCCGGCCATTTCATTATAATTAGATTTATTATATTAGATGTATATATATTCGATTTATTATAATTGATAAAAGATGTAAAAAAATTGGGGATGAAAAAAACTAATACAGAAATAGTTATAAGTTTATAATATTCCAACCACAATATTTCTTGTCTTTTATCCATTATTCATGTCAGGAAGATGTGGCCACAGGAAATGGTAAAAGCTGACATAACAATATATAAGGTTAAGTAGTATATAACTACAATTAGCTCTTACATGACCTACCTCAAAAGTTTTATTGAAGTCATTGAACAAGAAGTATCGGACTTGTCCACCAGGTCCAACGTCTGGGTCCTGAGCCTGAACAAATGCAATTACAACTCCTGGTGGCAAGTCCTCTGGTACTCGTGTGCTGTAACTGCTAGGCATAAAAACTGGAGGGCAATCATTGACGTCTTCCAGAATAATATTTAGAGTAGTGACTGATGACCGTTGAGTGCCCTTTTCAGCCTTGTCTCTCACTTCAATCATCAGGACGAACACTGGGATTGTTTCTCTGTCTAGCTGGCTGGCAACAAAAACAATTCCAGTTTCACTGTCAATACCAAACTGAGGGGTGTTGGTCAGCATTGTAAAATAGAGCTGTCCATTCTGGCCCATGTCTTTGTCAAAGGCAGTAATTGTAATTACTTCCATTCCGATGTCTGCTTGTTCTGAAACAACAACAGAGTAGTTATCTTGATAGAACTGGGGATTGTTGTCATTTGCATCCTCTACAATCACCGTCAGAATTCTCCAGTTTGACATTTGTGGAATGCCCTGATCGTAGATGGTGACATTAAGGAAGTAACGGTCCACTCGCTCACGGTCAAGTGGCTGCAGTACTGTTATCAGTCCACTCTCCATGTCGATGTTGAAACTGTTGTCTTTGTTTCCATCATAAATGGAAAAGAGAATGTGTCCATTAAAACCTATGTCACCATCTCGTGCTCGTACTTGAAACACACTTCCTCCAGGATTCAAGTCTTCTCTCACAAGAATGCTCATAGGCAAGGCCTCAAACTGTGGGGCTTGTTTGTTTATAGAGAAAATATCAATATATCTCTCGGTTGATTTTGGCCTTGCCATTGCTGATGCTTTCAAGAGCATTCTTTCTGCCAACAACTGGGCTACCCTGGTCTCTTTACAGGTCAACCCGCTGGGGGGTATCCTGCTTCTCACTACTGATATGTTTACATATATAGGATCAGAGAACAGCTCACCATCTGTTGCAACCACTTTCAGGTTGAATATCCCACTTTTTGAACTCTCTGCTTCAAAAGATCTCTTCAAAGCTAAAGCCCCCGAGTCTGGATTTAAGTGAAAATTGTCCAATTCGTTCCCAGACAGTATTTTGTACCTCACCATGCCCATCTCATCCATGTCTATTGCTGACAAGGTAACAATGGTCTTGTTGATGGGAAAATTGCGACTTATCATTCCTCTGCAAGAAATCTTCTCAAAAGCAGGCCGATTGTCATTGATGTTTATCACACGAATGGTAACATTGACCTCACTCTCCCTTCTGTAGGGTAAACCCCAGTCCGAGGCTCGTACTGCAAATGTATAAACATCTTCTGTTGACTCAAAGTCTAGATCGCTTGTGATCCTTAGCTCTCCAGTGTTTTGATCTATGCTAAACGGAAGAGACTTCTCACCATTGATTGTGTGAGTTACATAGCCATTCTCACGTTTGTCAGTATCCACAGCAGACACTACAAGAATAACAGTACCTATTGGTAAGCTCTCGTTGATTGCAGTTTGATAGGATGGCTGGCGAAACACTGGAGAATTGTCATTTGCATCTTCTATAGTAATCTGGACTTTTGCTCGCTGCTGACTGATGCAATCAACTACCTCTACCTCTATGAAATCCTGTGATATCTTTGTTAGCTGCCTTGTGGTCACAATAACCCCAGTCAAAGGGTTTATATCAAAGTGCATTGGATCTGAGAGGCTGCTGAAGCTGTAATTGACAAGCAGAGGAGCTGGGGATATTTTTACCACTTCTACAATAGTGCCCGGGGGAGCTATTTCTTTCAGCTTGACTACATAAACATTTTTTTCAAATTTTGCCTGCACAACGTCCTGCCCTGTAACCACCAGGTGAACAACTTGGGTGTTAGAAAATTTGGGAGGTATACCTCTGTCTTTGGCCTGGAAGGTTAAGTTGCAGCCATAGGGGTAAGTATCCAAGTTGATCTTTTCTAGTGTTCTAATTCTATATTCATTTCCAAAAGCTGATCTCTCAACCACAAACTGTTCATTAGGGTCACCATCAATAATGGACAACCACTCTATATCCCCAGATAGTCCCTCGTCGTTGTCCTCAACACTCACTATAGCATAGACTGGGTCTTTGTCTGTCAATGATGGAACAACAGCGACAGCACTGAGAACAGGAGCAAACTCATTAACCCGAGCCACAGTTAAGACCAGTCTGGCAGTGCTGCTGATACCATTATTCCCATAAAGTTTCATCCTTCTGTCAACAACCTGCACCTCCAGCTCAAATCTTTCTTTTTTATCTATCTTGGGTTGGCCTGTCAGGGTGATGACCCCACTTGTTGGATGAACAGCAAAGAGTTCTATGCGGTTCTTGAAGAAGTAGTAGAATTCTCCGTTGGAGCCAATGTCTGCATCTGTGGCTGTTACACGTCCTACACTGGTGCCCAGGGGAGCACTTTCAGGAACAACAAATGAATAGAAGGTTGGGGAAAATAGTGGTCGGAGGTCATTAGTATCCAAGACCTTGATATAAATGGTGGCTAAGGCCTCTAGGCCTTCATGGGCTGAGGCCTTAACAGTCAGAGTATAATTGTCCTGTACCTCCCGATTCAGTGTGGCACCACTGCCCCTATTTATACATATGCGGAGAAAACAAAAATCTCCCATTTCAAACTCCTCGGCTTGAAAAATGCCTTCACCGTCTCCAGACTCAATCGAGTACTTCACATCTAAAGGCCAAGATGGCACAAGAGTGACGCCCATCCTGACCTCACTTCTGATGTAAGTTCGTGCAGCGGCGTTCTCAAAGACTGAAGCATTATAGAGCGGCTGAGTAAAGAGCAGCAAGGCTCGCTCTGTCCTTGGTGTGGCTTGGGTTAGAAGAAAATGAAGGAAGATGTATAAAATAGCATTTAAAAAGGGGGGATATCTAGGTAAAAAAAACATATTTCCACATAGATTATGCTTCATCAATAGTCCATCACCCAGTAATCCTGTGTGAAAGAAAAATGACAAGAGAGACAGTATTCAGTTCATCAGTTGTTAAAGACATATGCTCAAAGAATTAAAATAGTAACTCTGAGACAAAAGTTACGGGACATGCTAGAAATACACAAAATGAAAGCATCACCAGTGCATTGGATTCAAGCATTAAATAATGCAATCAAACAAATAAAATAACTTTAATCCCCCCCACATTTTAATGTTGATGTGTCTCAGAGAAAAATAGCACGTCTTCTGAACAAACAGAAATTATCCTAACTTTTTTTTTTTTTCCCAAAAGATTTCCGGATTTGTGATGTTCTAAAAAGATGTTTTGCAACAAATGTATTTACTTGCACCTATTAAAAAATAGTTGTTGGAAAAAACACTTTTTGGAGTAGCTTTTTTATTATTATTTTTTTTTTAAAAAACACTGTGATCATCTTCACTATTTTATTTTTAGAAAGCAGATAAAATTAAAAGTGAAAACAAAATAGGTAAAGACAGACATGTGACAAAATACAAGACAATATAAAACATATGATTCAAATGTGTTGCCTTTTGCATACAGGAATTCTCATGCATGATAAAGGAGCATCATTTTTTTAGATAAGCACTCTGCATTGTGGACTATAGATGGCATTGATCATCATCAGCACCAAATGAACTATCACAGTTCAGCTGTCCCGGTGCACCCATCATCATCATCAGAGGATCTGATGACTGATGCGGCTCAGATGGAGCTCGCCAGCATGAAAAAATTGCGAATTTGTTTCAGTTTCAAGAAACCTTCTGCCGCTTGAACGGTACTCTCTCTGTGAATGTGAAAAAAATAATAATAATAATCTCCTTTCCACATAGTGTCCTACCTTTAGATGAAATAGATGCCATCAGTGAATGTGAATCCTTTCCCGTTCTATTTACTTACGGCAATTTTTTAAAATGGGGAAAATGCAAAACAACCGAGCGCCATAATAATAATAATTAAAAAAAAAAAAAACATCTAAATATCCTAACAAACAGTTGACAATAGACTGCAGAAAACGGGCTATTTACAGTAGTAAACTCATAAGTGACCTCCAAAAAGGTTCTACTACGTTTGCTGCAAGGTAATGGTCCGTAAGAGACGTGCTGCTGTGAGGAAGGTGCAAGTTTTAAAGCGGCCAGCATCAGTTAACGATGCTGAGCGGGACAACGATCACTGGATGGAGGCGGAGACTAAGCTCCGATCTTTGCCGAGTTTAGCCGACGTCATCACCCGGAAGTGCAAGCGGAATGTTCGGGCAGTCAGCCGCACACCGCTTCAACCCGCGCTGTGTCTCACAAGTCTAGTCACCGTTGTCTTTCTACGTCCACCATTATGTCTGTTTTATGTTATAATAAGGGATGCGGAGAGCGGTTTGATCCCGAAAACAATCCGGACGGTAAGTCTGAGTTTTAGTTAACTTAAATCTAAATGTGCAAGGGTGTCGGAATATTAGCAAGCTAACGTCTCTGATCATCTGGAAATTTCTACGGGCCTCGTAGGGCTCATCGAGCTAACGTGATGTTAACAGTCTGGTCTGACTTAATTCTTTAACGCTGCTACGTTTGATAGCTCGTACTTTAAACGTAATACGTGAGCGTTTTGTGTTTTAATGCAATTTTGTTAGCATGTTAGCGTTGTTCTTGGTGAGCACAATTGTCTGGACACGATATCCTACTGAAAGTTTAATGAACACTGTAGATCTGGTCTGTCATGCATTTTTAAAACAACTATGTTGCTGCACTTTTGCATATCAAAAAAGTAATAAAAAAAAAACAACTGTAAATGACTTTTTACTAACTTGTCATCAACTGTGGTTAATATATTTGTTCATTTTATTACATATTTTTGTTATAATGCTATTCAGCTATCTGTTCAAATAGAACTGTTTTTACATTATATGAGACTCAGCCTTTTTAATCTAAAAAAAATAGAATATTGCAAAAATGTTATGGTTAATCATTTCAGAAAGTGAAATCCATATTATGTAGATTCATTACACATAGAGTGAAATATTTAAAGCCTTTATTTCTTGTAATTTTAATGATTATGGCTTCCAAATAATCAAAGACTAACATCCGGTGTCTCAGAATATTAGAATATTGTGAAGAGGTTCAATATTGGAAACTCCCGGTGTCACACTGTAATCAGATAATTGACTCCTAGACATGAGCTACAAATGTCTCATTCCTCAAGTCCAGCCGCTCATAAACCAGAGACCATGTCAGAAGTGTCTTGCCTGCTGAGGAGAAAAAGAACTGGACTGTTGTTCAGTGGTCCACTGTGCTCTTTTCAGGTTAAAGTACATTTTTATGTAATTTGGAAAGCAAGGTCCCAGAGACTGGAGAAGAGTGGAGAGTCCCAGAATCCATGTTGCTCGAAGTCCAAAGTGAAGTTTCCACAGTCAGTGGTGATCTAGGGTGCTGTGTCCTGACGGTGTTTGTCCACTGTTTTATGAAATCCACGGTCAACGCAGCATCTACCAGGACGTTTTAGAGACTTCATACCTCCTTCTGCTGACGAGCTTATGAAGATGCTGATTTCATTTTCCAGCAGGACTTAGCTCCTGCCCACACTGCCATTGGGACCAAAATTCAATTCAATTCAAAAATACTTTATTAATCCCAGAGGGAAATTAAATGTTGTTGTAGCTCATTTTCCTTGTTTCATAAAAGAGTTGTTCTAGATGTTGATGGTTGTGGGCGGGAAGGATCTCTTGTGATGGTCCGTCTTATAGCAGATCTGAAAAAACTGGCCACAGATGTTGATCCGTTTACTTGCACTTGGTTGGCCTCCTGGGCTTCAGGATCACCTGAATGTTGGGCAGAAATCCTCCCAGGGCAATGGCCACTCCTCCCAGCAGCTTGTTGAGCTCCTCATCGCTGCAGACAGCCAACTGTAGGTGCTGATGGACGATCCTGTCCTTCCACTGTCATGAGCCGTGTTTCCTGCTAGTTCCAGGATCTCAGTGGTCAGGCACTCGAGCACAGCTGGCAGGTAGATGAAAATGCGTCCACAGAACATCCTTTTCAACTCATTTGAAATTTAGGGCTGTAGTTGAGATATTACTTGAGCTTTTGAGACGTTAATCAGCTGCTGTTGGTTGTAGAAACTGCCTTGTTGCCATGGTTACGCATAATAACAAATGTCCAAAACTAAAAAAGTTTCAGTAAAAATCCTTCCAGCTGCACAGCTTCTGATACCAGAGGAAACAATCATCCAAAAAAATGTGATTTACATCCAGAAAAAGAGGAAATAAAGTTTCCAAAAGCAAAATCTCAGAATGAAAGTAACAGAGCTGCTCCAACATGCAGCCACCTTGAGCGGCGCAATGCCGCAAAAAAGCTGGCTGTGGAATGTTCAAAATTTCTGAAACAATGAATTTGGGTTTTTCATTATTTGTAAACCATAATCATCAAAATTACAAGAAACAAAGGCTTGAAATAGTTCACTCGGTGTAATGAATCTATGCAATCTATGAATTTAATTTTCTGAAGCGATTGACAAGAAATATACAACTTTTTCACAACATTCTAATTTTTTAGATGAACCTGTAAACTCACGAGTATGTAACTTTAGTTGAGAACTGGAGAAGTTCTTGGAATTAGAAATGAAACATCAGAGACAGAGTTTCTTTATTGTCATTCGCACCTCATGTGGTACATGTGGTGGAGCAAAATTATGTACACAGGGTCCCAGTTACATCCAACAATAAAATGTATAAGAAAAACAATGATTACATCTAAGATATGAATTAAGAAAAACATAAACTAAATATACACTAAGCACTCATAAAAACATTACGTCGAACATCAGCACAAACATGAACATGAGTCTGTGAGCAGATGAGCACGCATGAACACATCAACATTGAAACAGATCAGCAGCGATATTGAAACAGATCAGCAGCAACATGATATGATTTTTTTCACAGTGATTATTCTGGTTAGAGATTCATGAGTCTAAAAACCTCAGGGTAGAAGCTGTTCCTCAGTCTAGTGGTTCTACACTTAATGCTCCTCAACCTCCTTCCAGAGGGGAGTGGGGCAAAAAGTGTGTGTGCTGGGTGAGTGGGGTCCTTCATGATGCAGGTGGCCCTCTTCCTGCATCTAGAGGTGTAGATGTCTGTGATGGTGAGGAGACTGACTCCAACATCTTCTGTACAGTCTTCACCACTCTCTGCAAAGCTTTTCTTTTTGCAGCTGTGCAGCCTCCATGCTACACGTTGATGCTGGAGCACAGGATGCTCTCCACTGCACACCTGCAGAAGGAGGTGAGGACTGAGCTTTCCAGACCAGCTCGTCTCAGCCGCCTGAGGAAGTAGAGTCTCTGATGAGCTTTCTTGATCAGGCTGGTGTTGTTGCTCCAGCTGAGGTTGTCATTCATGTGTACACCCAAGTACTTGTAGCTGGAGACCACTTCCACCACAGATCCTCTTATGTTCATGGGGGTGTAGGTGTTTTTGTTCTTTCTGAAGTCCACAATCATCTCCTTTGTCTTCTTCACATTGATGTGAAGTAGGGGTGCACCGATAAATCGGCCGGCCGATCGATCGGCCCCGATTTCCTTAATTTGGGGAGATCGGCGATCGGCCGATCTTTAAATGAGAAGCCGATTTTATCCACCGATCGTAGCTGCCTCCGGAAAGGTCTGAAAATCAGCTGCTGTCCCCTTTTGCTCCACTGTGAGAGCTCACACACAGGTCACTCGGAGCAGCCATGTCGTCGTTTTGGAAGTTCTACGCTGTAAAAGAAAATGAGCCAAAGATCGCAATTTGCAATTCGTGTAAAGCCAAAGTAAGTAGTGGTGGAGCCACCACCAAAACCTTTAATACAACAAACCTCGTTCGCCATTTAAGAAATCACCACGCCGCCAAGTATGCAATGTTTGAAGCGAGCAACCAAGCTAAGGCTAATGCTAAAGCTAGCGCTAACAAAGAGGCAGTCGGTGGGTCGCTGTTAGCTTTTATGAGCAACGAAAAGAGCAAAGCTACCACGAGGAAAGTGATGGAGTTCATGGCATTAGACGACCAGCCATTTTCAGTCGTTGAGGACAAAGGTTTTAAAAGCTTGATGCAGCACGTGAGCCCACGATATAATATGCCGAGTCGGAAATATTTTTCTGATCTTGCATTACCGGAGTTGTTCAGCCAAGTTTCGAGAGACACCCGCAGCCTGCTAAAAGCTAATACAAATACACTCAGCTTTACAACAGACATCTGGACTTCTGATGTAAGTTTAATGTCCATGTTAAGTTTTACTGCACAGTGGATTGACGAACAGTTCGAACGTCATCAAGTACTCTTAAACTGTAAAGAAGAGAGAGGAGAGGCAAGCGAGCACAGACCGTGGCGTGGGTACAGCCAAAGCTACGTTGCTGGAGGCTGTTGTGAGAAGATTCAGCAACGTTGAGCATGAGCCCCTGTACAGCTTGGCCACTGTTCTGGATCCAAGGCAAGTAACTATTAACATTCTATTTTAGCCATAATTACTTTTAGCCTACTACTATATTTCAACAAACATTTAAATTAAATTAAAAATAAAAATTTCTTGATTGAAATGCATTTCTTTATTTACATGCAAGTCATAAAAACTGTTAATGTATACAAAACACAATGATTGACCCATCTTTCTTTGTTTATGCAAAACAAGGTACAAGAATCGCTACTTCTCAGCAGAGGTGAAAGATGACGTGAAACTGCTCCTTTTGACCAAACTTGCAGAGGGGGAGACCAGATGCACACCTGCTGCAGGAACATCCTCTGAAGTGGGACCTCCTGATATAGATGAACCTGCAGCCAAAAGGCGTAGTCTACTGTTTGCAGCTCACGACGAAATCTTGAAGGAGAACATTGAACAGGAGCAACAGCTGGCCAGCCCTTCAGCTATGCAGGTACAGAACTACCTATCTGAGGTTCCAGTCAAAAGGAGCCAGGACCCATTGGTCTACTGGAAGATCAATGAAAATCGTTTCCCTCATCTTGCTCTACTTGCCCGAACCTATCTCTCTGCCCCATGCACAAGCATTGAAAGCGAGCGCCTGTTTAGCTTGGCTGGACATGTAGTAGATGAGAAAAGAAGTCGCCTGTCTGGTGACAAAGCAGAAATGCTTTTGTTCATCAAGAAAAACCTGCCACTAATGAAAGTGACTGGAATAAGTCTGTGAGAACAAACTTACCTGTGCCAGTGTTATTTCTTATTACCCACTGACTTGAAAATGTTACACTTGTTGCATTATCTTTTTAAGTTTTTTTAAAAAAATGTAACAAGTGAAAGAGTTGAAGGAACTGAACTTTTTTTTTTTTGGTTAATTTTATAGTTTTAACAAAAATTGTGTAAACTTCATTTATATTTCAGAATACTACCTCATGACTAATTAAAACAACAAGTTTGTATTGTTTCTAGGGTATTTTTCAAGGGTATGTTTTACAATAAAATAAGATTGGTAAATTGAAGGTGCATTGTGATCTTGTAACACCTGACACTGTTGCTTATAAAAAAAAAATCGGTATCGGCCAAAATCGGAATCGGCAGTTCAGACTTTCAAAAAATCGGTGATCGGTGATCGGCCTGAAAATTGAAATCGGTGCACCCCTAATGTGAAGGTTATTCTCTTTGCACCAGCTCTCCAGGTGTTCCACCTCTTGCCTGTAGCTGGACTCTTCTTTGAAAACCCAAAACATCTTTGAAAACCAAAAGAAAATCAGTTATTTTATTCACTTGTAATTTCCATAACCAGTGTGGTTGTACATACTGTGGTTCTGTTATTCATAAATGTTTAAACTTACAAATATATGCAAAACAAGATGCTGCAAAAATGAATCCTAATCTGAGTAAAGAAGATCCTGTCCTGAAATACTTCATAGAGACCGCTCCATAATGATGCTGCTTCCTGTGTGCGCCTGGTCTCTATGCCAAATCAGAAGACCAGCTCAAGAAGACAAAATAAAGCACATTGAGCAATTTGTGTTCATGGTCCACTTCTGCACATTCTGCAATAGGACTGTTAGAGATCAAGTCAAACTTCAGAATCTTTATTGTCGTGACTTAATGGAGAACAAACATGGGAATTGTCCCAGTCGTAAAGGCAGCAGCGGTTGACATACCTTGGTTGTGGAAAACTTCCAACCACAATCCTCTTCTCAACACAGAAATTGGATGATTTTTATTGTTGGGAAGTACATTCACCTATGCACATTCTTTCGGAAATAACAGCTTTGGATATTTGAATTCTTCAGATAACGGAAAATATTTAAAACCATAAACTGTTTTCAATACTTTTTGTGTACACAGACTTTCCAATGAAAATTCTGTGTAGTACATTGTGAAAAAAGTTCATATTTTCTGTTTTACCTGTTTACATGACATTTACCCTGGTTGTAAAAAAAAAATTCTGCCTACATTCCTGATTTCTGAACCCAACCAGAGACACAATAATTATAGAATTGGAGACTTTTGCATGCCTTGAAATCTTCCCTTATGATTATGAAATGACACGGATTGAAAACCAGATGGTATATAATTTCTAAACTTGAGATTGACACAATTTTGATTGATCAGCTGTTTTCTCACATACTTCATACGGATCAGTTCTATAACTTAATTTTCTGCTTGCTTGCTGTCACTGCCTCAGTAGATGGATAAATAAATATTACAAATAAAACTTGTCTTCAAGTACTTCCTCTGCTGATGATCTTTGTTAGTCTTGCAACAATGCATCCTGTGCACAAACACGGATGAAGCAGTCTATACTACTGAAAATGTAGTCAGGATACTATAAACTAAAGAACACGACAGGCTGGCTTGTTGTCACGGTGACTTAACAAAATTACTGAAGTCTGATAGTGTAGTCAAGAAAAGTTAAAATGTCACTTTTTATACTTGTTTAAAAAGCCCTTTTTGAGATTATTGTAATGTTTTAAATATGTTCTGCAGCAGTTTTCAGCTGAGCGTGAATTTGTATTTGCAAAACTTCAAAGTTTAGCCTTTTTTTTTTTTTTTTT